CCCGTGGGGGGCACGTCGAGACAATACCGCCGTCCTCGGGGGTAGCCGAGGCCTATTGCGATCACAGCCCTACCAGCCTTCCTCCTCTCTCCTCTTCCTCCTCTCCTCCTCCTCCTCCCTCCTCCGTCCTCCTCCTCCTCCTCCTCCTCCTCCTCCTTCCTCCGTCCTCCTCCTCCTCCTCCTCCTCCTCCTCCTCCTCCTCCTCCATTCCTTTCCCTTATAAATGACTCCTCCCTGTCGCACCCCGAGGCCAGTTTTAGGGCGGGCCGGGCGTTTCGCCTGAGACTTCCTCATCATTTATGACCCTGAAAGTAAAAAATAGCAACAATTTCACACATGGAGGGCGTATCGTTTTCAAAATGTGGCTCTCGCGGAGTAAGGGCGGGTCGTATTCAAAATGTGGCTCTCGCCTTAGCGCCGCGCACATTCGCTTTGAACATTAGCAAGAGTTTGACGGATTGAGGGCGGGTGGTTTTCAAAATGTGGCTCTCGCCTTAGCGCCGCGCACTGTCGTTTAATCACTTTGATAAGGATTTCACATATTCAATGGTCAACGTACCAGAAATAGTGTTTAAGAAATATAGATTATGCGGGTGCAACAATTGTGTTGATTCGCGGTGTTCAGGTCACAACAATGGCGCTCTGGCACGGTTCCAAATCGTCGAGACGCAGCAGTCAGGTTGATCCGTTGCTTTGAAGTCCCGAAAACAATGTTTTGGCATGCTTCAGTGTCTTCAATGGTGTCTTCTAACGAGCCAGTTCCCTCAATGGAAATGAACCGTTGTAGGGTCCTGTGAAGAGGGAGTTTGGAGGGAGGCTGAATTCCAACATTGTTGATGACTCTTTGGTTTACACTTGTCCTCCTCCTCCTCCTCCTCCTCCTCCTCCTCCTCACCCTCCTCACCCCTCCCCACTCCTCCAAGCCCCAGGGGGTCCTCTGTGCCTGGCCTTGCGCCTCGCATGGCCCCCCCGGAGCTCGCTGGGCCCCCGGGGGCCAAAAACACGCGCGCCTCGCGGTGCTGGAGGCACGGGTCCGACGCCCCGGCCCGCCTCGGCCCTCGCCCTCCTCGCCTCGCCCTCGCCTCGCCCTCGTGGCGTCGTGAGCCGTGTGTCGCAGCGTGGCCCCGGCCCTGATGTCATCCCCCCCCTCTTGTGATGGGCCTGTTTTCCACCACCACCACCAGAAGTTGGAGGGGGGAAGGAGGTGGAGGACCCCCTCCCCCTCCTACATGTGGAGGTGGCGGTGGTGAAAAACAAGCCCACCATCTTGGCCGCCCCCGACGCGGGCCCGATCCCGGGACAGCTCGACTCCTGCCCCAGGGCCGTGTGGCTTCGCCTTCGCGGCCTCGGGGCCAGGTGAGGGCCCAGGATGCCGAGACATGGCGGAAGCCCTCCGTCGAGATCTCTGACGCATGAGAGAGTCTGAGTCTCCTTTTCTTTCTCTCTCTCTCTCTCTGTTCTCTACCTCGTTTCGCCTTCGGGTTGAGACGGTGACGAGCTTGCGAAGACCGAGCCAGCTTCCTGGCAGGATCACGCCCACCCGAGCTTGCACGTGCAAAAGCCACAGGCAGCTTCAGGGGGGCTGGAACGTTTGGCCGTCGTCTTGAAGCAGCTGGAGGAGAACTGGCCCGAAGCAAAAGAGGAGGAGGAGGAGGAGGAGGAGGGAGGAGGGAGGAGGAGGATGGAGGATGGAGGAGGAGGAGGATGGAGGATGGAGGATGGAGGAGGAGAAGGAGGAGGAGGAGAAGGAGGAGGAGGCTGTGCTCTTTCGCCGCTCGCCCGTACGATGCACAGTATGAAGGCTGCGTGCGATCGATCACGGGCTCCCGACGTGCAGGATCTCCCAGGGGTACGCATGCGCGTGAGCTCTGTCAAACTGCTGAAGCGGGGCCATGGCAAGATACCCGTCGAAGGCCTGCGAATTATGGGAAACCCATAGGTTGCCAGATGCCCTTGGGGTTTTCTGGCAACCGATAGGTTTCCAATAATTCGGACTTGTGGAAACCCATAGATCGACGACTGCCATCGGAAGAAGTGGGTAGAAGCATGAAGCAGGAAGGCGTTGGAAGCAGATTGGGCTCCCGCCCGCCCCCTGAAGATGAAGCACGAAGGACAAGCACTCGATCATTTGAAGTGGGAGGTTGCCTTTTAAGTGGATTGGGATCTGAGAATCCAGAATGGGAGTCCAGAAATACATTTGGACGGATGCTAGTGCTAGGGACCTTCCTGGAGCCGCTCGCCCCACTCGTGCGTCGAAGCTGCGTCGAACGTCCGTCGATCCGAGTCGACCTTGAGTCAAAGCTGAGTCGAGTCTGATTCGAACTTCAGTCGAACTTGAGTCGACCTGGGGTCGAAGCAGAGTCGAGCAGATCCTTCAAGTGGGCCTCAGGAAGGTCCCCCAAACGAGCACCTAAAATGCCTATTTCCAACGAACGATGTCCGAGCTGCAGAAGCTGAACGACCACTCGCAGGAGGAAGCGGAGGAGGCGGAGGCACTTGGGGAGACGAAGATGCGGACGAGGAGGCAGGGGAAGACGAGGCTGATGAGGAGGAGGAGGAGCAAGAGCGCCAAAGCACCAGAACTCCTCGCTCCCCCCAGACCCCTCGAGTTAGGACACCAACAAAAAACACGACGGGAGGTTTTGCACTATGTTCGGCCTCTGGGGGCCCCCACCGGCCCTCGGGGCCGTTACAAAAATGGCTCGGGATGAAACACCGGCCCTGGGGAATGGGTCGAGACCTCTGGGGGTCGACGTTATCAAAAAATCACGCTGTCGGCGATTACCTGGGTCCGGTTTTTCGTCCTGGGTAGTTTTTGGACGGCCCCGAGGGCCAGTGAGGGCCCCCAGGACCAAAAATAGAAAAAAAAACTCCTCGTCGTGATGTCTTCACGACGTGGACCCCCAACCATTCCCTAGGACCAAATTTTTGTCTTGCTTTTGGACTGCCCAGAGGGCCGGTGAGGGACCACAGAGGCCGAAAACAGCGAACATAGCGAAAACGGACCTCCTGCTCCTCCTCCTCCTCCTCCTCCTCCTCCTCTTCTTCTTCTTCTTCTTCTTCTTCTTATTATTATTATTCTTCTTCTTATTCTTCTTCTTATTATTATTCTTCTTATTCTTCTTCTTATTATTATTATTATTATTATTCTTCTTCTTCTGCTTCTTCTTCGTCTTCTTCTTATTATTATTCTTATTATTCTTCTTCTTATTCTTCTTATTCTTCTTCCTATGCTTATTATTCTTCTTATTCTTCTTCTTATTCTTATGATTCTTCGTATTCTTCTTATTATTATTCTTCTTATTATTCTTATTCTTCTGCTTCTTCTCCTTCTTCTGCTTATTCTGTTTCTTCTTATTATTCTTCTTCTTCTTCTTCCTCCGTCCTCCTCCTCCTCCTCCTCCTCCTCCTCTTCCTCATCCTCTCCCTCCTCGCCTGAGCCCTCCGCCTCCCTCCTCCTACTCCTCCTCCTCCTCCTCCTCCTCCTCCTCCATCCTCCTCCTACCCCTCCCTCCTCCTCCTCCTCCTCCTCCCCTCCTCCTTCCGCCTCCTCCTCCTCCTCCTCCTTCCTCCTCCTCCTCCTCCTCCTCCTCCCTAACTCCTCCTCCTCCTCCTCTCCTCCTCCTTCCTCCCTCTCTCCTCCTCCTCTCCTCCTCCTCCTCCTCCTCCTCCTCCTCCCTCCTCCTCCTCCTCCTCCTCCTCCCCTCCTCTCCTCCTCCTCCTCCTCCTCCTCCTCCTCCTCGCTCCATCCTCCTCCTCTATATCCTCCTTCTATCTCCTCCAATTTCCACTTCCTCCTCCTCCTCCTCCTCCTCCTTCTCCCCCCTCCTCCTCCTCCTCCTTCCTATCCTCCTGCTCTCCTCCTCCTCCTCCTCCCTCTCGCTTTTCTTCGCTTCCTTCCCTCCTCCTCTCCTACCGTCCTCCTTGCCTTCCTACCTACCTCCTCCCCCTCCTTTCGACTGGACGTGAGTCCTCGCTCCGCCTCGCTCTCCGTTTCCTCCTCCTCCTCCTCCTCCCTCTCTATATCCTCTTCTATCGTCCTCCAACTCCAATCTTCCCTGCCTCTCCTCCTCCTCCTCATCCTCCTCCTCCTCCTCAACTCCTTCTCCTCCTCCTCCCCTCCTCCTCCTCCTCCTCCTCCTCCTCCTCCTGCCCTCCTCCTCCTCCTCCCGCCCCCCACCCACCCACCCCCCAACCTTCCATCCCTTCCCTCCTCCTACTCCTCCTCCTCCTCCTCCTCCTCCTCCTCCTCTTCCTCCTCCTCCGTAGCCCAAGACGAATACTGTTTTCTTCCGATGCGCCGCACTCTTACCTGCTGGTGCGTGCAGCTTGATCCCAGCGCGTTCTTGCCGATCAGGGCCCGCTGTGGCCCACTGCCTTGGCGACTGCAGACGGCTGGCAGAGCGGAGCTCTTCTCGATAAAGCTGGGCCTCGACGCCAACCCCGAGCACTATCCCTGCGTCTCGGACTCGCTCTCCCCCGTCGGTGAAGGCACGCCATGGGCACCTAGGCTGAACCGTGGGCGGGCAAAACACGCGAGCGGGATGGGGAGACGAGGCAGGAGGTAGGAGGAGGAGGAGGAGGAGGAGGAGGGGAAAGAGGAGGAGGAGGAGGAAGAGGAGGAAGAGGAGGAGGAGGAGAAGGAGGAGGAGGAGGAGGAGGAGGGGGGGGGGGAGGAGGGAGAGGGGAGGGAGAGGGAGGAGGAGGAGGAGGAGGAGGAGGAGGAGGAGAGGAAGGAGGGAGGAGGAGGGAGGAGGAGGAGGAGGGAGGAGGAGGAGGAGGGAGGGAGAGAGGAGAGGAGGAGGAGGAGGAGAGGAGGGAGGAGGAGGAGGAGGAGGAGGAGGAGGAGGAGGAGGTAGGGTGGAGAATGACCCCACGCCGCGAAGCGCCAGACCACGAGCTGCACCCAGGCCCTGGGACGGCCCACAGTGGCGGCGGCAGTGGCACCGCCGCGGGGCTCGTCGCTCTCCGACACGGGCTCGCCGTAGCCTAGGCCGCGCCCCCGAGCGCGGCAGCGACGGTCTCCTCGGCGGGAGCCCGGCTGAGCAGCCCGCCGCCCGTCAGCACGGCGTCGACATGGGAGACCACGGGGCCAGGCGCGCGCGAGCGGAGGCCCGCCGCCAGCCGGGCGCGCACGTCCGCCACGGAGAGCGCCGCCGGGACACGGGCGAACTCCTCGCCGGCAAGGGTCACGAACTGCGCCGAGGACCCGTCGAGGAAGGCCTGCAGGAGCAGCGGTGGCGGCGCGCTCGGCGGCGAGGAGCACACTGCTGCGTACGCCAGGCCGTCGCCGGGCGCGGGGACGTCGAGCTGCCCGTAGCGATTGGACCCGTAGGCCGCGGCCGTGCCGTCGCTCCGCAGCAGCACGGTATGGAAGGCGCCGGCGGCGACCTGCGTGTACGCCAGGCCGTCGCCCGGCGCGGGGACGTCGCACTGCCCGAAACGATTTTTCCCGCAGGCCGCGGCCGTGCCGTCGCTCCGCAGCAGCACGGTATGGTCGCCGCCGGCGGCGATCTGCGTGTACGCCAGGCCGTCGCCCGGCGCGGGGACGTCGAGCTGCCCGAAGAAATTGCCCCCGCAGGCCGCGGCCGTGCCGTCGCTCAGCAGCAGCACGGTATGTTTGCCGCCGGCGGCGACCTGCGTGTACGCCAGGCCGTCGCCCGGCGCGGGGACGTCGCACTGCCCACAGCGATTGGACCCGCAGGCCGCGGCCGTGCCGTCGCTCCGCAGCAGCACGGTATGGAAGTCGCCGGCGGCGACCTGCGTGTACGCCAGGCCGTCGCCCGGCGCGGGGACGTCGCACTGCCCGGAGGAATTGCCCCCGCAGGCCGCGGCCGTGCCGTCGCTCCGCAGCAGCACGGTGTGGAAGCCGCCGGCGGCGACCTGCGTGTACGCCAGGCCGTCGCCCGGCGCGGGGACGTCGCACTGCCCGTAGCGATTGTCCCCGCAGGCCGCGGCCGTGCCGTCGCTCCGCAGCAGCACGGTATGGTCGGCGCTGGCGGCGACCTGCGTGTACGCCAGGCCGTCGCCCGGCGCGGGGACGTCGCACTGCCCGGAGGAGTTGTCCCCGCAGGCCGCGGCCGTGCCGTCGCTCCGCAGCAGCACGGTGTGATGGTCATTGATCATCGCTCAGGCAAGCGGAGGGGGGGCCGGCGTGCCCATCGCGGCGCTCTGCGATGCTCGGGCGGGGAGGCCTCGACCTGCCGCGGCGGCGCGCGCACAGGGGGTGGGCGGGCGAGTCCCCCTGAGAGAGGCCTCCCGCCCACTCCGTGGAAGCCCCCTATCCGTCCTCCAGGCGGCCTTCCTCGAGGGGGGCCGCTCCCTGCCGAGGTGGCTGACGCCAAGCAGCGCCAAGCAGTGCCAAGCAGTGCCAAGCGCATGCAACGCAACACGCAGAGCAATGCCAGGCAATGCGGAGCAATGCCAAGCAACGCAGAGCAGTGCAGCGCAACGCAGAGCAGTGCGAAGCTGGCGGGGACGAGGCGACGGGCGGCGGCGGGGCGGCAACGGGGCGCGGCGACGGCGACGCGACACAGCGGCCAGAGAGCCACACGGGCCCAGAACGACAGGCGGCGACGAGGCAACGGCGGGGCGGCGACGGCGGCGACATGGCGCCCAGAGAGCCACACGGGCCCAGACGACAGGCGGCGACGGGGCGGCGACGGCGGCGACATGGCGTCTGGAGCGCCACAGAGGCCCAGACGACGGGGGGGGATGGCGCTTGCAGTTGTCTCAATCGGCTGGCTCTGGCTGCAATATTTCTATCGATTCACTTCGGGGAGCCGTCCTAGCTGGATATCGATGTTCTGCACGTACGTGAAGCATCTGGAGAGCTATTCGCTTCTCACCGTTGGACTGCACATCGTCGAAAACATCATTCTGAAACCTCGAATGATCTGAGATCGACTCGCTAGTCGAGCATACTCGAACAAAACTCGTTCCGCACTGCAACGGTTATGCTGCCAGTCGCGTTGTGTTTCGACTTTACCTCGGAATGCATAGCAGCCACATAGCTGTTCGGCAAACCATCTGGTAGGGCAGATTCAGAAACATATATGTGTAACGTCGACGGCGTTGACGTAGCTCTTCTCTACGAGCTGGACTTGCCAATCTAGTTTTGCGATGCAACTAATCACTACAAATAATTGTGCTTTACTAAATCTCGGGAGCTACATTGGCATTGGCATTACATTTGGTTGATCATTGTCGAAACTATCAGTATGAAACCTCTGGGGCGCCGAGATCGGTCGTCGACTTAAGATATGATAGACGCGACCTTCGCGCAATAACTATTCAGCTGCGGCGAATCATGTTCCGGATTTCTCCTCGAGCTTCACAGCGAAAGCGGCGTCGTGATGCAATCCCTCTGCTGTGTCGAGCCATTGTGCGACCGCGTCTCAAGAATTCGAGCAGTTACCGAAAGGATTAGGCACACCATTGTGTTGCGCATAAATCCAACGCATCAGTCTGCAACCGCGAGGGCGCCGAGATCGGCCTTCTACTTGAGCCATCCCCGAAACAAACAAAAAATAGTTTCGCGCATGAGCTTTCACGAGGTCCCCGGCGGTAGCCAGGTTGCCTCAAGCTCCAGGTGGTCAAGCTTTACGAGGTCCCCAGTGGGGCCTCCCGCAAGCCCGCGCTGGGCTCGTCGGCAGAGCACGCAGTGCTAGGCGGTCCAAGCTGCACCGTACATCGGATGTTGTTCTGCACAACTAAGGTCGTTGCGCCCCATCCTCTTCCATCTGTCACTCCTTGCACCTTGCTGCTCTGTACGTGGTCGTTTCGGGCATGGTCGCTGTGGGCATGGTCGTCTTGGACATGCCTACACGGAGTGTAGAGCG